CACACACTCACACACACACACACACACACTCACTCACTCACTCTCTCACACTCACTCACATCGCACCGTGCATCCACTGAGCTCGCGTTCATGTTTTGTGTTTGCTGTTCTTTGTCCCGTGTCATTTCATTGTTCCAAACGTTCATCACTTCAAATACTTTAACACTAAATGTGTTGGTCTCTCGTTCGGTCCACAGATTCTCCTTCCGTTCGCGTCTATATTTAGACTGATCACTGTGAAGTCTCTGTTTGAGTAGTCTCCCTCTTCAAATAATCGTTTGCTGGTTTTACTGTAGGCCGGATCACAGTGAGGTCTGTTTTTTAATATTTCATCGTGACTGTACTTTTTTTTTTTTTAGTGAATGTAACATTATCCTGCAGCTCTTCGTATAAAGTTTTTCTGCATACATACACTGGAGTCACATAAAGCGATATATAGCAAATCTCACTGCTTGATTTATATCATCATGAGTGTAGCTATATTATCGTCCAGCTGTAATCTCACAAACGCCACTCTAAGGTATGAAGATATTAGAGCTTTGCTTCTGCTGTTTGAGTGTCAGCTTTCAGAAACTGTGTGACAAGTAAAGATTTTGTGTGTAATATATATTATAAACATCAACAACATTTGTTTGTGTGTCTGTGTGTCTGTGTGTGTGTGTCTGTGTGTGTGTGTGTGTGTGCGTGTGTGTGTTTGTTTGCTTGTGTGTTTGTGTGTGAGTGAGTGAGTGAGTGTGTGTGAGTGTGTGTGTGTGTGTGTGTGTGTATTTTCTGTCTGAAAATGTAGGTCTTTTCTCTCCCTGCAGATGCTCTGAAAACCAGGACGCTGAAGATCAGCAGTTCCAGAGGACACACACACACAAGAACAGAGAGAGATACTGCAGACCGACTGCTATCAGTGTCCACAGGTAACACACACACAAACAGAAGCTTTATGTATTGTGAGGTGCATTAGTCAATCACTCTATTTAGTATTAGAATATTTCACATATGTTCCACTAATACTGATGTGTGTGTGTGTGTGTGTGTGTGTGTTTACAGTAGGGTATGAGAGCGCATCATGTGGTTTCTGAGATGGAGGAGTGAGAGTTCGGATGAAAACACACGAGGTGAGACACACACACACACACACACACCTGCCGTTGACCTCTCAGTATTTTCAGCATTGTTTCATTATTCTGTGTGTTTTTCTCACGGGCTCCATCGGCTGCTGAGTTTTGACTTGATCACATAAAGATGGCAACACCTGACACACACACACGGTAATCTGTGATAATCTGTGATAAAGCTGCTGCTCTCATCAGAGTTTCACACAAATCAAACCTCATCAACTCAACACACACTCACTGTCATTCAGAGAAACACTGGTGTGTGTTCTGAAGGCATCGTTCATCCAGAGCTGATCAGCATTTAGTCGTGGTGCGGGTCTCACGTCAGCGTTTCATCGAGCAGATCATGAAGCCCTGGACAGTGTGCTGGTTCACGGCTGATCTTATTCTGGATGTGTTTTACTGAGCTATCGTCCGCTACGGTCATGTGTGCTGAAAAACGGACGTTCAGACCAAGAGTGACTACTGTAAACATCAGTATAACCATAAAGTGTTATTAACTGAGAATAAGAGCATAGTGAATTCTGCAGCACAACTATAACGGTGACGGCACAGAGGAACGATATTACTGGAATCACTCTCAGAACGATTTTCTTCCAGCTGATAATCGATAAAAGCATTGACAGCCAATCAGAATCCATCCAACTTGTATAGAGTGTTATATTTATTGTTACAGTTATGGTTATTGCTATAGTTATTATTATTTATGGTTGTGGTTTTTGTTATTGTTATACTTGTCATTAGTTATCATTGTAAGTGTTTGTTATAGTTATCATTAGTTATCTTCTTAGTAATAACTCATAACTTCTTACAGTTATCATTATAGTTATAGTTATCATTAGTTATGGTTATAGTTATCGTTATAGTTATTTTATGTTTAAGTCATTATTATAGTTATCTTTAAAGTTATTGTCATGATCGTTATCATTGTCATTATGGTTATAGTTATCATTAGTAATGGTTATAGTTACTGGTATAGTTATCATATCATTGTAGTTGTCATATCATATTATTGTAGTTGTTGTTGTTATATTTATTGTCATATAATAATTATAGTTGTCATTAGTTGTCATTAGTAATTGTTATAGTTATTGTCATAGTTATCATTAGTTATGGTAATAGTTATGGTTATAGTTATTTTTTATGTTTAAGTCACTGTTATAGTTACCTTTAAAGTTTTTATCATAAGCGTTATCATTAGTTATACGTTGTACTGATGGTTATAGTTGTCATTAGTTGTTTTTGTTCTTATAGTTATAATATTGTATTGTTACAGTTATTGTTGTAATCTTTTTGTTTATTGTTTTAGTTATCTTTACAGTAATGGTTAAAGTTCTGGTTACGGTTGTAATTCTAGTCATTGTTCTGGATATGGTTGTAATTCTACTCATTGTTCTAGTTATAATTATAATTCTAGTCATTGTTCTGGTTATGGTTATAATTTTAGTCATTGTTCTGGTTATGGTTGTAATTATAGTCATTGTTTTGGTTATGGTTATAATTCTAGTCATTGGTCTGGTTATGGTGGTAATTCTAGTCATTTTCTGGTTATGGTTGTAATTATAGTCATTGTTTTGGTTATGGTT